CAGACCAGAATATCTGAAATAGTATGTATGCACAGTTGGGCTGTGTACTCTGTGTGTTGACCATAGAGGTTCGCTTTCTTTTCCCGTCCCTAAAAATAGGTCCAATTCCTATCCTCCCTTACACATTCTCACTTATCTTGTATGTATTGTGAGTTTGGTAGCGATCAGTGAAGTTCGCTTCACTGTATTACGCTATACAATGATGATGACAATGAAACTAAAACTAAACTGACCTGCTTGAAGAAGGAGTTACTGAGACCATCACGGCCATTGCACGCTCAGTTCGGGTTATATCAAACTGCCGGATCCGCCACAAATTGACAACATGATCCCGATTACTGTGATACTGCTTTGTGCATTGTATACACATCTTGGCGTGATGTGCAGTAGAGGGAATATACTTCACAGTCATTAGTGTCTAGTGTGGACGGATAGCGTAAATGTTGTAACTGCACGGGATTTTCTCGATGCTGGATTCTCGAAGGGCCGTCTTTCGGTAACATTTCTCGCTCAGATAGGAACTTCACAGGTAGTAAAATGGAACACCATTGAAAGCGTATAGGAATTAATTTGTTATACAAAATTCATGTTTATATATGGGGAGGAGAGAGAGAGAGAGAGAGAGGACTTGGGAATCTAGACACACACACACACACCGTCGTTGTCAACCGTCTTGATTGGTCGGTATTTCGGACTGATCACCTAAGTTCCGGTATTTTTCGAGTTCTGGTCTCCGACATGTCGTTTACTTCGCCATGTTACCAAATCTTTCGGTGTATAGACTGTAGTTGACGCTGTATAATCTGTATAGAACACAACGCTGATTGTTTTTTTCCTCTCAAGGTGGAATGTGTTTGTTTTTATTCTTTCTTTCATTATTCACTGTTTCTGTGTGATGAACACGGGGAGGAGTGAACATCATAGTCACAACCAACCTGGTTCTCCATTGTCACAATCGATAGCCTAAACGATGGCAAGTAGACTATGTTTGATTTAACTTGTTTGCTGTCCATTTTCACCATGACTGAATGCTGATAAAATCCGATCTCCCCGTCTCGTGTTCGTCCATTCCATCAGCTGTTCGTGAATGTTGTGAAATATCGATTGGATCAGGTACAACGTCGTCTGGAAGCTGAACAACGCAAAAGCACCAGTCGTGCTAGTTTCAAATGTCCCGCGTGTGCCAAAACCTACACAGATTTGGAAGTGGATCGCCTGTTGGATCCGGAAAATCCTGGACGACTGATATGTGGTTACTGTCAAACGGAAGTTGTCGAAGAGAAAGACAATGTCTCTCGAACCGATGCCCGAGCTCTGATAGCCAAATTCCATCACCAGGTAAAATGTACAGCTTTTCCCGTTTACCTTAACATGACTAATTTTTCCACCAATCTGCAGTTTTTCATTGGAACTGGGTTCACATTCCTACCGGGAATACCTATTTCAACCGTTGGTTGTAATTCGTACAAGTTTTCTCTTTTCCATAACCATACGCATTCCTTCACTGTGATTACCAGTTTTTCCGGCTGTTGACGGAGGGGTGTGTGAGGCGGATAAGCACAAAGGTTGAATTCCTTTGGTGTTTTTCTATTAGCGTTTACCGGCAAATCACAATGGATCATAGAATTCGAACACATCCCTGTGGAAACCTATGTCGCAGTTTGAACCAGTGTAATTTTAGCGATACAAGGCCACTTTGTCATCTTGCTTCCTTTTCATGTTTCATCACATCCATGTAATTTCTCAAAAAATGACTGTAGTTTAATAGTCTTTCTTGTTGTCACCTGTTAAAAAAAACAACTTTTCAATTTCGGGTAGCTGTAACACCGGTGCAAACCATGGAGCTGTGATAATCGTTCAAAAAAAAATGTGTTGTAAAGGGTCAATTAAGTGCACAGTGCAAGTGCCCAGCCTCAGTTGAATATTATTGAATTATCCCAAGGTCAGACTATCTCACGGAATCAGCCTGTCACGGGTTGCCTCAACTAAGATTTCTATGTGAATCTGTATTGTTCATGAGCTGTTGGCGCACCGCGCAACGAAACGATTTGAGGCTGAGAGTTGCTTCAAAATCGATCTTCCCATAGTAAATTAGTGTCTTCTTGGAAATCTGTGTGGTACTTTTCTCGCCTTTGTTCTCAATCAGTATTCATGAAACCCCCGTTCGCGTGAAGCTGAAATCTGCCCCCCCCCCCCCCCCCGCGGTCAACCTTTACTACATCTAAGTTTGCTTCATTTCAGTTGGCCCCTCACTTGTCTGTAGCAGCACAATCACCGGAGGTCGCTTGTCTTTCCCTCGTTTTCTGTCTGCATCGCCTCATCCTGTCTAAAGTATTCTAGCTGATAATACGCTTCCGACAAATATTTAAAAAAAAACAGGTGGGCAGATAAAATCATGCATTAGAAAAACCCAAACCTGTCAATAAATTCAGACAGCGAGCACTCGTCGTCGTCTTTGACAGTCTCGATATAAAAATACAGACCGCATAGGACTGCGGATCTGTGTTCCCTTGACCAACCACCTTTTTGTTTGTAAAACGTTTACCATTCTTTTGTTCAATCCCAGCTCTCATTATCTAGATATTGGTCTGTTCAACTTCATCCAACTGCTCCGACGTCCTATTTCTTATTGCTCCCGTTAGGTAAGCAAACACAATCAGGAAACGATCACGCTATGAAGGAAATCGTGTTGGTCACACTTAAGACATCTTCTGGTGTTTCCAAACACGCATGAATTATGAGGGCTCTATTCTTTTGCAGTTGGTATTGGCTTGCGTAACCTAGGTTTACTAATACGGTGCGCGCGAAATATAGTAATCTGCACCTTTTCCCATCAAGCATTTGGCAAAACCCGCAGTCCTTTATCCTCGACCCACAATCCTTTAGCTTTGACACACATTCCTTTAGCCACGAACTGCAGTCCCTTGGCCTTGACACACAAACTTTAGTCTTATCGCTGTAAGCGAGTCAGATTAAAAAGTATCGGAATATTCTGAAGTTAAGTTATGTTGAAAAAATAATTATTATTATTATTCTCTGCAAACGTGGATGTTACAAAGATTGGTTAGGAAAAAGGTGTGGAGAAGGTTTATCCGATGTACTCGTATCGTCAAACCATTGGACACATCTCGCACAGTTTTAGTGTTTTCGTATGATATGCAGTAATCCTGTGAGTAAAAATCTCAAGTGTAACACAAATGGTACATTGTTTTGCATTCACAACTCTGTTCATGAGGTTCGGAAACATAAGCATACCGTTCACAAAAGTACGCTCCCATAACTATCATCAGTTGATGAGCGCTGCAACATTTGAGGTAATTACCACGGTCGAGGATCCAGAATTACAGATTTCGTCTATGACTTTTTGGGAACCGGTGTACAGGAGGGGTCTTTTGTTCAGTTCAGTTCAGTTCAGTTCTTACAACCATTAACCATGCACTTTCGTGCGCCGGTTTTGGTCTATTGTGAACACTGTCTATCATCCTCCGACTTTTAGTGTATCCACATCTGAAGAAACAGAGTTCATTTTAAGTAGATATACGAAACGGTTAGCATTTATGCTTTGTGTTATCACTTTTTGATTTATCTCAGGGCTTGTGGATGCAAAACTATGTATCGTTTTCGTTACACTTGAGATTTTTACTCACAGGATTACTGTATATCATACGAAAACACTAAAACTGTGCGAGATGTGTCCAATGGTTTGACGGTACGAGTACATCGGATAAACTTTCTTCACACCTCTTTCCTAACCAATCTTTGCAACATCCACGTTTGCAGAGAATAATTTTTTCAACATAACTCAACTTCAGAATATTCCGATATTTTTTGGTCTGACTCGCTTACAGCGATAAGACTAAAGTTTGTGTGTCAAGGCCAAGGGACTGCAGTTCGTGGCTGAATCATTCGGGGTTTTGGCTAAAGGAACGTGTGTCAAAGCTAAAGGATTGTGGGTCGAGGATAAAAGACTGCGGGTTTTGCCTAAAGCTAGATGGGAAAATGTGCAGTTAATTAGTTTTTCCCTAACGTTTTGCGCGCTACTTTGTGTGGTATGTTAGATTGTTCGATATTTCTAATGGGAATGATAATGCGTACATTTCAGTGCACGTGTAATAGATCATTCCGACATTTGTTTGAATAAGAAATCAGTTAGATCCCACGGTAGACTTGAATTGTCCTCTGCGAAGCTGTGCTTCATTCTCAGCTAATACGTGACTATCGGTGCGACTAGTGGTTTGCGGAGATTTCGTTGACACGTAGCACCTACAGTTCTAATCTTTTGCATTACATTTGTTTGCTCTCTGATGTCTTGTTTTCGGACCGTTATTAACTCAATAAACCAATTCAGTGATGGTGATATTCAATTTTTACTGTAGTTTTCACAGATGAAATCAATCTCTAATGATCACAACAGCGATTTATTCTGTGCTGGCCACGTTCACTCTGTTTTCACACAATACAATCTGTCGACAACTGTCTTGTTTGTGTGTGTGTGCGTGCCAATCGCCGCCTTACATTTCATCACTCACGATCACATGATCTCTACGCGATCCCTCATGCTCACGTGATCCGATCATTGGATGCCTTCACATCTGTTNAGACATGTTTCTGCGATCCTTTCACTTTGTCATGTTTTTTATGCCAGAATATGGAATAGAAATATGCATTCAACTACTAATTGTGGATTATGCTGCACTCATATTCTGAGTCACCTAATCCAGGGCACGTATGTTGTTGGTTACTTCATTTACAGTAAAAGACTATCAGTGTGATTATTGACGCTGGTATCAAATGACAGTTATCAATTGAATTGATATTTTTAATACATATACACTGAATCCGCTGTTCCCGTCATCTTTGGGTGATGGGCATAGTCTAACAGCGCCTCATCTGATCTGCAGTTTTACCTAGTCTGACGCTTTTTTTACCGGAAGCACTTTGCTGACTAGGTCTATTCTCCAGTACATTTTTCGTTAGTCTGCAGCACAAACAATGCACTCCAATCGAGTGGACATAAATTCTCTCGATAAACTATTTTTTTCTGTTTGGTGGGCATCACAGTCGCCATGAACGGTTTCCAATGTTCTGTTGGTCTGTTCGTACTAATCGCGTTTATTCCCAAGTGATGATACCTGACGTTCATCACATCTCTTATCCTCCTTGTGGCTATTTCGCGCTTCTCAGGTTCGGGAGCCCATTGATAACATGTTGCGCGAGTGCGATGAGGTTCACCTCTCGT